GAAGCGATAGGTATTAAATAATGACGAGCTCTCGCACTTCACGCATTCCGTTCACGTACATACCACGCCGCCGCCGCCGCCGCCGCCACCGTCGACACGCAGCATGCGTGTCGTCGTGGGGCGTGAAACACTTGAAAATCCCGGTTATGTAAAACATAGGAAAACGGCCCTCCGCATGCAGGACCGTCGCGCCGCGTCGCGTCGGAACGTTAGGTGGAACGCGTAATTGAAAGCACTTTAGAGACCCTAGCGGCACGCACAACGAGCTACTCGCATTTGCATTCAGTGGCGGAGGGAATGCCTTTTAACCGAAATGACTGCGTGTGTATGACAAACGCCGGGGTTTATGTGCCGGAACGATGGGAATATTTATTGGCGCGAATTAATGTCTCCACTCGGCCATACACCGCGTTCGGCGCGCAAGTTTATGCATATACGATATATTATATACATATTTATCGGGATGATTTCGCGAATGCGCTCTATGACCCATCGTCAGGAGAATAAAAGCCTACTTGCGGCGAAAAATTATTTGTGCAAATCATAGGGTATGTCTATTCACGTGGATTCATCGTGCCATTTATATACGATTTGACATTGACTTGTTACAAAAGCAAGAGAACTCGTTTCGCAGTTGAGTGATCGAAGATTCGATATGAAAATCATTGCACCGTTTTTCTAAAAAAAATTATCAACGATGATAATTAAAACTTTATATTTATTATCCTAATTAAAATGTTTCAATTTAGAATTTTAAAAAATGGTCTACTAAAAAGTTGCAAACCTATATTACTTTTTTTTATCAACCCAACGATATATAAGACGATAAAATGTTAGAAAAATTGTATTATTCGCTAAAGAGAGAGAGATTTCTTGTCTTAGACTTTTATTTTTCGTTCCAATTAATTTTTGTACTCATATAACATTCACGAATTTTCAATTATAAACGGAACTATTCTCTTGCTATTTACGTTATAATTTTTATATAAATATGATCATAATATCACAATAAAGATACTACGTCGAGACAGGATGTCGGATTCGAAAGATGATGTAGAGGACGGTCAAATTGAAAACACAAGTTTCGTTTCATGATGCAATATATATCTGTATTATATATATATCGATAAATCTATATATAATATTATATTCTAACATATCGCAACGTATGTACATTACAGAGTTCACGATAATTTGCATTGAATTTATCATTTATATATACATATATAGCTTGTACATTTGAGACGTTCATTTTATGAAATGCATTTTGACGTGAGGAGAGTAAGCACGAGATGCAAAATAATGATTCTTGAAATTACGTTATTTATCACTTAATTATAGATCTACGGACTTGTATACGTATGTACAATTTATTGGAACATGTTTTGTGAAAAATTCTAAATTCGAGTACGCTATTCCATATCATGAAACATCTCCGAATATAATGCTCCTCTTGGCGGTCTTTGGATATGTTGCTAAGTGATAATAAATATAATAAAAAAAAATGTAATTCCTACTGTATAATAGTTTATTTTGATTGATGTTAATGCTTTTTAAAAATGGGTGGGGAGAGAACGGTGATCCTAAATACAGATTTTATATGGTCAAAATTTGTGTACAGAATTCGTGTAACGATAACTTTATTTGCAGCAAAATGAATATAACAATAAAAAATAAAATATAAAAATTATTAAAAATTATATCTGTTTAAATATATATAATTATATGTAATACATTAAACATATGTTATAATAATATATATACATATTAATTATAAACATATATTATAGATATTTTTACACAATTATAAATACATATATACAAGTGTATATATAAATATATTTTTACAAGCTGGCAAAAGAACAAAAAAAAGTTATGAGTGAATTTTGAGTGTCTTTTTACAGGCTGCAAAAGTTAGGGGAAAGTGGGATAATTTGGATAGGTTATCGAAAATTTTGAAATTGTATGAAAAATTGAGGTTTTGCATAGTATATTCAATGAAACATACAAAATATAGTTTATTGAATCACCAGTGTATATTTTGTATATTTCATTGAATACACAATGGACAAAATTTTGTTATTAGTTTGGTTATAATAGACTTTATTATTATAAAATATAAAACCACGATGACAAAAACAAAATAATAATACATAGCACATATTCATGTACAAAACACTCGTCAATAAGTAAGATGCTTTTCAAACACGAATTTGTACGTGTAACATTCCCTTAGCATCTGCTTGTAAAATATTCTCTATTATTTAGAATTAAAAAAATTTTTTAAGTTTTAGGTAAATTCTAAATCGTAAATTAATATAAAAGAAAGACTGCATCTGGACATAAAATTCATTTTCGATAAGAATACTTAAAAATACTTCATTTTCCATTAGTTTTCCATTAAAAAAAGTTATCATAATTTCTGACTTTTCTAAAAATATAATAAAATTAAATTATAAATATACGCAATAAGTAGAGTTTTTTTATGCATTATTAAGTAAATGTATTGGGAAACCCTAATCGACGTATATACACGCAAATCTCACACACATACCCAAAAAAGTTTATTATCTTCAGACATATTCAGACATGTTTCAAAGTATTAACCCACAAACGGTACACTTCGTTTTGGTATACAATATACAAATAGTACACTTCGTTTTGGTATACAGTACACTATACAATACACTAGTGCGAATTGGGATTTTATGATTTCATTCTCTAATCGCACCATGAAAAATGCATTAAAAAATTTTATATATACAAGTTTCTATTATTTATAAACGCAGATGTCAACGATATTATTTAAAGAATTATGTAATGTATTGAAGCGAGACTGTTAAGAGTAACTTAAAAAATCACATATTTAATAATTAACGTTATAATAGAGGACATATAACATGATAATCCTAATAATATAATAAAAATTAATAATACTTGAAAAAACGGATTATGTAAAGAGAATCTTGTTCGTGTTTGTTCTAAAAATGAATTCTAATATTGTCATGTGGTTTCCAATGTAAATATTAATTTTTATACAGAAAAATATTAACCAATTATTTTATTATATATTTTTTTTTTAAAATCAGAAAAATACTTCTGATCTTTACGATAACTTTTTTGAATGAAAACTAATGGAAAATGAATAAAGCACTCACATATCGAAAGTCAATTTTGTGCCCAGATAATCCTTTTATATTAATGTATATATATATATATATTGAATTTATCTAAAACTTATAGAAAATTTTAAAATTCAAAACAATAGAGAAGACTTCACAAGCAAATATTAAGGGAATGTTACACGTACAAAATGTTATTTGAAAAATATCTTATTTAACGAGTATTTTGTACATGAATACGCAATGCTCTATGTTTTTATTATTATAATTATTAGTTTTAGATTTAATGATAATAAACTCTAGCAGCAAAACAATGTAAATATTAATATATACTGGGAACCACATAACAATGTACATAATGTAAAATCAGTGAGGAGTCTATGTGTAAAAAAGATATGATTTCTATACGTAAATTCCTAAAATATAGATTATTTCAATGTGTGGGTTGAGATTTTTTATATATCAACAAGTTTATTAGAGTCACATAAAATATAATTTATTTTAAAGAATGTAGCAGTCTATTGGAATCAGCTCCATTTTCAAAATAAACGCGAACGAAATTCTTTTCTTATATAATTCGTTTTCCGAGCATTTAAAATATAAACTGTTTATAGTTTTCACTACTGTATCACATCTGAATATTAATTTTTATTGTGTTATTAAGATTATGATATTATACGTTTTCCATTATATCATTAGTTATTATTGTTATTAATAAGAGGAATGTGATTTTTTTAGTTCTTCTTATTATTCTCTCTTCAATTAATTCGCATGATCATTACTACGTATTCTTGTAACTCAAATAATATTTTTGACATCCTTGTTTGTAAATAAAAGAAATGTATAATTTGAATACATCTGAAAATTAACAACGAGATTTGATAATTCGTATCGTATATGTACGGCGATTGTGGAGCTTTCCTCGCCCCCTTATTTAGATCTTAGATAATGCATAGAAAGCTGAACTTATATATCATAAGTCAGTTTTGTGTTAAAATTCAGTACTTCTTTTAGATTAATTAGACTTAAAATTTAACTATGACACGCGCGCGCGCGTAGAAAACTTTAAATTTTTACCAGATGTAGAACAATTTTTTCGTAACACAAAAAATGTTTATACTGGGAATCATATAACGATATATATAATATAAACCAGTGAAGATATTTACTATGTAAAAAGGTACAATGTTTTTAATATTACGAAATAGATAAAGAGAAATGCATAATATAGCAAGTAAGAGAGAGAGAGAGAGAGATGAGGGACAGAAAGTAGATTCAGGAAAAAAATAACAAAATATAATTCCAAGACAATTTTCACAAAGAATATGTATATATATATAATATATATCTTTGATATAAATAATGTGTGTATATATACTTTTTTAAATCAAATTTGAAGTTTAACTAAGATCTTTCTTTTACATACTACATATCTTCACTGGTTTTATATTATATATCTCATCATATGGTCCCCAGTGTAAACATGTTTTTGTTAAGAAAAAATTGTTCTACATCTAATAAAAATTTAAAGTTTTCTTTAGGCGCGCGTGTCTTAGTTAAATTTGAAATGTTTAAATGATTTAAAAAAATATATATAAGATTTTATTCTGATAACATTTTCTATATTGATAAGTTGTAATGTAAAATATGGTCAGAGACGGAGACTTGATTTTTCTGAGTATGGAGTTATCTAAATGGAGGATGATATTTCAAAATAATACAAATATTTTATCTTTTATGGTGTATGTGTGAAATATATTTATATATATTTCTATACACCCTGATTAAATACTATTTGTGTACCAAACAAAATTTTTATAATTTTTCAAAAATTAACATATATATTGATTTAATACTTTGAATTTTAAGTGTGAAAATCTCCAAACCTCGAATAAGGAAGCCTCCGTCCGTTTATGAGTATGGTTATGTATGCGCTCTGCAGACTGTATTCGTCTTTACCATGAAAATTGTCTTGAAATATAATATATTTTATTATACTTTTTCCTTTTGTGTTTATTACCTTTCTCTCTCCCTCTCTCTTTCTCTCTCTCTCTTTCCCCTTCCCCCTCCCCCTCTTACTAATAATGCATTTCTCTTTACTTCGCATTTTATCTTTCGCGCGCTTTTTTTTTTCTTTTTTTCTCTGGTTTTCTTTTTTTCTGTTATTTTCTACAGGGCTTCCATTTGCACAGATGTCCATCCAGTTTGCTTCTCTTTAAGCTACGAGATTCCTACGAATTATGCATGTGTTGTGTTAAGTTATGAAAGATGATAAGTCGGTGGATTGCTAAATTTCTAGTATTAACAATCCACTGATGTTCATCGATAGAGAGATAGGATGAGTCAGACGAAATCTTTGTGATTATTCGATGATCGTGATAGAGTGAAATGGTATAATCCAAGTGTGAGTTAGCGTGGAATTGTCATGATATTACTTGAAAAACATAAGAATCAACTAAAAAAATTAACCAAAATAAAATTAGAAAAAAACTATTTTTCTAAATAATAATTTCGTTTATGACTCAACCTATATATCAATAAAACTCTCTTCTTAATAATTCTAATAAAATACCTTCATAGAACTTTATTCAACTTCTCACAATTAAATACAGTATTTCATTTACAAATTAAAAATTTAAGTATTTATTATATTCATCTAGTTCTAGAAAAGTTGCAAATCTGAAAAGAAATAACAAAGAAAAGAAATAAATTTATGAAGAAAAATAAATTTATAAGTTTCAAACTAAATATACGATATCGTGAACTCTGCTTCTGGACCCTACGTTCAAAATAATTCAATTGGCTTTAAAATTTCTATTATGTATCTACATAATAACGAAATATAAAAAAAATAGATACAAAAAATAGCATAATTAATAATTTACAATAAAAATCAATGGAAAGAAATAAGATAAAATGATGTAATAGTTACAAAACTAGATATATAATCACATAATTTACAAATAACTAAAAATTTTTGCGAGAAATTACAAATCTTTGAGTAAATCTCTGTATTTTATAATTAAAAAGTAAGATTAAAATTTAATAAACTGATAATCTACATCTAAAACATAATTATACGAAAAATATATATATTATAATTGATAAACTGATTTCGATACATGTAATGAGTATGTGATGAGAGAGAGAGTGTGTAAATAAACAAACGAAGACTGTTGGATCTATTAATCGCCGTTTCTACCAATGTAGATTAACAGTATCAGATTGTTATTTCTTGCTCTAATGACGTAAACTGCAATATTCATGGAGAATTAGTAATTATAATTGTAATATATCAAAGGGTTATTTCTGTATCAATCATACAGAAATAACCCATAAACTATACAATTTCGATGTAAATTAATTTTAATCTCGGTTTAACTTGTTCTTTTTTTTCTAATTCTTAAAGTTAATCTACGTTGGTGAAAACAGGCATTGTATATAAGTTTTAAAGTTTCGATTAAATGCAAACACAGAATTGCTTAAATCCTCTTTATTATAAACCCACTAATCTCTTATAAATCCTGATAAACCTCAAATATATGCCTTCTATCTATTATTAGGCAAAGGAACTTTTTAAGGATACGAGCAAGTTCTCCTACGTAAGTAATGTTTAAAGGATGACAATTAAACTTGGATATATAAGAGTTTACATAAAGAGTACAAATAAATAAATATGAATCACGTTTCAACAAATATATTCTAGCTAAGAAAAATTAAACGTATAAGACATGCGCCTAAATACAGATAAATTATATTTTATTCGCTTTAGTGCGGCGATAGTTATTCAAATGTTTACTTATTCTAGTAAAATTCATATTAATAATGTTTTATCAAGCGTGTAAGATTTTTACACCTTGATACGAGGTAAATCGACGCATTTCATTCTTACTTCCCGACTCGACACGGCAGTCTATAATTTTCTAGAGTAATGATATCTTGGAAGTTCCACTTTGCTAACTCTTGAAATAGTAATAATCGTGCGCGAATAAGCAACTGGTCGCAAATTTCAGATGTAAGAAGCGAATCATAGATCGCTGTTTTAGTAGTTAATTGGTGTAATGATAGAAGATCCAGAAGCATAGTTCTCATCACGATAGTATATTATCATTTGCTTTAGCAATAGAAAAAAGTGAGTATTGCGTCGTGAAATAAATCAGTATAAGAAGAAAGGAGGCATTAAAAAGGAGATAAATAATATTTATATAAGTATTGCACATTCATTTGATAAGAGAATAATTCTTAAATGAAGCATACACGATACTAACGAATTATTATACGTGCGGAGTACAGGGGATTCTTGTTATGAAAATTCAGTTTATAGCCAAGAAATATATAAAAGAATTTATGTTAGAGAAATAATTTTTATATTTATAAATACAATAACATAACAAATGCAAAGAATTTTAATGTAGAACTGCAGACTTTCTATTTGGTATTCTAAATGAGAAATTAAATTAAAAAATGTATTAAATGGAAAAATAAAAAAAAAATATATAAAATACAAACTAATTTTTAAAATACAATTTATAATTAATGCGAATCTCCTGTAAACTCCAATAACGTTCAAATTGCAAAAAACGATCGATGATCTTCAAATAACATTCGAAGATCTATCTCATCAATGATTTTTGTTAATTATAACTCAAGTGAACAGTGCAATCATCGTCAAACTGGGATAAACTGCGTTACGTTCGTCATACTTGACATCGATGAACATTATGGATTAGGACTGTACTAGGATAGATATGTACTGACTCAAATTATCTGTCGGGGACGCTATAGGTCGTCGTTCACAACGTGACCCAAAACATTTCTTTCCCTTCGAACGTAAATATTATGCTTTAGTTTGTAGAAATATTGCGAAAGTCTATTCGTATCTAATACTATTATAATAGAGACATTTGTGATACTCTATGTAATTTTTATTGGAAAAAGTGTAGGTAATAGCAAAAAAAAATGTGGTCTAATTTTTGAAAGAAATACTGTGTATCTACAAAAGTAGTCTCATTTATTCCATATTTTAAAGGACTATAAGATGTCGAGATATAACTATATCGAGCATCATGGTTTACCCCATTTTCACGACTCTAAAAGCTACTCGCAAGCAAGTATAGGCAGAAAGAAGAAGAAGAAGAAGAAGTGTAATGTGTGAGAAAGAAGCTTGTCTCTTCACTTCCTTTGTAATAACTTACATGTGTGTAATCGGCTGCATGGTTGTATGATGTTGCGTCAATGAGTCAGGTGATGGACCCGGTGGGTAGACGCTTCCACCGTGTTGCACGACTCCCTGCTCGATGCCTTGCGGCAAATACATAGAGATCATCTGCCGGAGATCTCCTTGCGATGCCTGTTGGCTCGTTTGCTGCTGCCCCATGTATTCCCTCTTGACCTGGCCGGCAGGACCAGCCGCGCCCGTCGGCGTCGGGCCGCCCGTCGGCGTCGGTGTATGTATGCCACCGCTCGCTGGGCTCGTAGGCTCGGACTTTATGCTGCTGCCACTAGGACTATGACTACTGGATATCTGAGAACCCGTCTGAGCCTGATGATAAGGTGATGGTGATCCACCGGGTACAGTGGTACCGCCGTATCCACCGTATCCGCCATAGCCGTTCATATTGATAGGACTAGGACTGCTGCCACCGATGTGATGTCCCATGGAATCGTACCTAGGATAGGCCACAGCCGAGGCAGCTGTTGCAGCACCACCCATGTGACTGCTGTACGCGACGTGTTGCTGATACGTTGTTGGATCATGCATCATGTAACCGTTGGGCATGTACCCGTTGGGCATCTGATATACGTCTCGCGATAATTGCGGCTGCTGCGGTCCTCCGCTGGTACCTACTTGCCGTTGATCCACACCGAGCATTCCACCGACGCCGGCGACTGCTCCGCCGAGCTGAAACTTGTCTTTCTTTATGAGCGTCTTTGTCTTGCGACGTGGCCGATACTTGTAATCGGGATGTTCTTTCATATGAACGGCGCGCAGCCGCTTCGCCTCGTCAATAAACGGACGCTTCTCTCCTTCGCTGAGAAGTTTCCATTCGGCACCAAGGCGTTTCGATATTTCGGAATTATGCATTTTCGGATTTTCTTGAGCCATCTTGCGCCGTTGCCCACGCGACCATACCATGAATGCATTCATTGGCCTCTTTACGCGATCCATGTTGTTATTCTTGGCGTTGGAAGAATTGCTGGGGTTGTTAGGATTATTTGGATTGCTATGATTATTAGCTTGATGATGCTGCTGTGACTGCGACTGTTGCTGTTGTGGTTGCTGATGAGCATGATGTTGCTGTTGCTGAGCGCTCTGTTGAACTACCATTGCGTGCATGCTCTGCTGTTGCTGTTGTTGCTGCTGCTGTTGCACGGCCGCGGCGGCGACGGCGGCAGCTGACATTGCGTAATGATGTTGAGAAGTTTGATGATGATGTTGAAGACCGAGGCCCAAGCCACCCGCGCTGGGTGGGCTCCCCGACAGCGCGGAGCTATGAACTATCGAGCCTAAAGATCCGTAAGGAGACATCCCAGTATGATGGCCCATCGGTGATACACCCTGGTGTGGATGCGGTGGCATCTGAGCATGCAGACTGCCGCCCTTCATGTCCGTCTCCATCGTGTGCATCTCTTCTTGCCTGTGCCCGTACAGTTTGCTGCCCTTTTCTAATACCGTTCGACGTCAAGAAAATCAATGGGGGCACGCCAAAAAAAAGTCAATTGATCACACCGGTGGATAAACTCGTCGTCTAAATCACCACCGGAGTTTTCTTTAAGTTCACCTCCGAAGCGATGACATGAAAATCAATCGCTAGAACTCTCTAAGTCACTAATATATAAATCACTATTAAGACACTCCGCGTAAGAATGGATCGCAAAACGTTCGCGCACGTTTTCTAGTCACTAGTGTGTGTGATCAACTGGATCACACGATCGCGTGAGCGTATCGAATGATGTGGCAGTCTCGAACCATTCCGCGCTGGTGATGATCTTCGTATCACCAATTACGATAAATCTTCGTTTTTCGCAGTGTTCGAATTTAATTATGAATATCATTCACGAGACAAACGCCATGCAGACACGATCTCTCGGCGAGAAGCATCACTCGCGATCGACATACTATCGAAATAGTCCCCCTTCGTACATTGTTCCGCGATGCGTATGTTCATTCGTTTTTCTCGTCTTTTCAAAAATCCAGAGAAGCGCTTAAAGCGATCCGTGGTTCAGAATGTCTATACGAGAACTGACTCACTCGCTTTCTTCCCCTCACTGCTAGTCTCTCACCACTCCGTACCATTCGCCAGCTATTCTGACTGGCTGCGAGCCACAGTACGCTCGACGAATCGCGTCACGACAATGCGGCAACGACGCGCCAACTAAGCGCGAGTGCTCCGGAGCGGCGGTCTCCTTTGAAACGAGATGATGGCACCCTCTAAACAGCGCGTGCGACACAGGAAGAAACGCGAGAAGACAAATCAACGCGAAAACCCAATACCTGATCAAGTTCACGAACACTGTTTTTGTCTTCAAGAATTCTTTGCTCTTTCACCCGCGTATGCACTTTCGTCGATGTAATCCGGTGCGGCAGGGCAGTTTATAACTGCGGCGCGTAGCACGATTAAAAGGCAGCGATGCGCTTTTATTCTCAACTACTCCTCGCTCTACTTCCACTGTGCTGATGCACGACTACTAACAACGAACGGTCCGATGCAGAAGATGCGTACACAACTTCTATCCTCTGTGAGAGAACGAAACCGTCTGATGTATTTCCAACAAGGCTCGAGATAGAAGCTCAGTTCCTGCCGAGAAGGCGGCCGTCTCCCTTCTTCCAGCGTTGAGCACCCCTCTTCTCGTACGCTACCTCGCGGTATAGTGGGGACCATATCCGACCGATGTACTGCGCTCCGTACTACGCACCGTAGGCAATCGATTGGCAAGCGCGCCTGCCATCATTTCTCTCAACCAATCGGCCGGCTCGCTCACCTCGGAGGCGGCGCCACAGCTTCGTGACGTCACTTAGCGAACATGACCGACCTCTCGCGGCGATGCTTCGGTCCGACGTCTCGTTCCCTCCCTTCGCTTCTCGTTCCTACCTAACGCTATCGTCATCCTTTCCTCTCGTCTGTCTCTTTCGCTCTTCACTGCTGTGCACGGGCAACATTTCTACTTACTTTTTCGCGCCGCGAAATCGGCTACCCGTCGGACGCATGTACCGCTACGCGGCCGCCGCTCGCAGCGTTGAACAGCGTTGAGCAGCGCTAGGTGCCTGGTGCATACGTGTGTCCGCGAGCCTTAATATGTTCCTTTGCACACGACCTGGAGTTACGTGATGTATTACATATCCATCAACGTTAATGCACGAATAAGCCAAATACACATTTAAGAATCTCATAGAGAGATAATATGATGGATATATATATGTATATATATGTATATATGTACAAGTAGAAGACACAACGCGAGATTTTGTAGTACACTGTTTTTAAGAGCACAGGTAGTGCGATACTTATATGACGAATAAGATTAGAAATGACTTATCTTATGAAAGATGTTCTCATGATTTGCCTTAGAAGTTAGCAGATAAACTAAGCGAGTGAAGATTGAGACATATTTCCCGCAATTCACATCATGTGCACTGCGCGTCATTTATCGTATCTTATCAAAGTTTTCTTTTATCTCACTGAAAGGTATAAGTATAATAGTATTCGCGTTTCCTCTTAATTTTCTTGACTCTCGTAATGATTTCTCTTTCAAACTCTCAATACCGAATTTTATTTCACTGCTCGCGATATATTCGAGAAGATTCGGAGCTCGTAATAAGGATCTCGCTCCTCCCTCCCTCCTGTCCTTTTCCGTTGGGCGGCAGAATTCACGGCAAGAAGCTCACTAAAATCGTTATCGTAGAGCTTTCATTGGACGTCGTGTCTTCGTTTCAGCATGCTGTATGTTGTGGGACCTGTTGCCGCGAGACGCGAAGAAAAGGAGAAGAGATGCGAAACGAATTGGTTTGTGGCGGAAGTGTGCGTGGTAAATAAACGCGTAAAACTATATTTTGTGCTTCGTCGATATCAGTAAAAGATATCGCGACAATTCCAAAATCGATACGACACGTATAAACGTACTCAAAAACTATTAATATCCTCTTTTAAGTGTAGCATACATTTTTTCCTCATTCCAAGAGATGATTATCGCAATTGCATTCTCATCGAATGATTGTTTATCTACGTTTTGATTACTGCAATTACATCAATTTTGCAAAGTAATCTAGAGTGATCTCGATCCTGATGCGCGATCATCGTGATTGCGATGACATTATTATTTCGCAATTCGTCCTTGAGAACGTCAATCTTTAGTGCAATTGTAGCTTGCATTGATCGCGATTATAGTTTATCCGATATCTCGATAATCTTTTATCGCAGCGATACCTGATTAAAATAATAACAAAAATAAAGATGTTTTATGAATATAAAACGTAGATATTTAACTCGTCTATAATATAATAACAAAAAAAAAATTTAATTATATTTTATATTATATCTACCACATAATCGCAGTCAAAAGCAATTAGATAACAATGACTTGATGTATAAACAATATTGATTATAAGTAAATTATTATATTATCACCACCGTAAATATTTCGTAGAAATTTGATAATTTGAATAGAATTTTAATGCGAAAAAAATATCAATTCAATTAAAACAAGCATTTGGTTTGTATCGTATTTACAGGTGCATTTATATTGCGAAAGATAAATAAATCTACAATTAATAAAAACTTTTCTCTTGCGGGTGAACGACATTTTTTCGGGTGAACGAACTTAAATTTATGTTAGCTCGTGATTTATCGTCTGGCATTATTAGACAGCAGGTAGAAAGTGTTTCCTGCTTGTAAGTATTGTACTTTTTATTTTTACAACATACAAATGGCATGTGCAGGATCATAAAATTGAAAATGTCGAACTTACATCATCTTTAATTTTTTTTATTTTCACTTTATGGCTTAATCCTCTTTCCTTTTTGCCTTTGTTATACTATCTCTGCATTTTGGAAATGAATAAAGTCCGTGCTTAACTTTTAACGTCCTCGAACTTTCCAAAGATTTTAATTTTTTGTGAACGCGCTAGATTTTACTACCTGGCAATTCAAGATAAAATGAAATTGGCTTACAGCACCGTTATATGGAACTTGTGCAATCATTGCAAAAACCCCGTCGTACATTTTAACGTAATCAGCTACAAATTAAAACGATATCTGATCACAAGTGGCTGATACATGCACGAATATTAACGAGAACGCCTCTCGCGCGTATGATTTGCCCGCGCAACAGCGGCATTAGGCCGAAATGCCACAAGTGGCACATAAACCGTGCGGAATAAGTGGATTGATAGGTCGTTACCGTTGAAAGAAGATAGAGCGGATCGAGCGATACACCTAGAAAGCTGAAGGTAAAGGAGAAATGGAGAAATAGAGAAAGAGAGAGAGAGAGAGAGAGAGAGAGAGAACGTACAATAAGTCGGAGTCCGACAATAGGATACCGCGGGCGGTCTTTGTGATTCAAATCAATGTTTGCGATACTCGATGGCGCACTGCCTTTGTAGCACCGGGCTTTCCTAGGCTTCTCGCGTATACGTATACGTTCGCAATAACACGCACACATACAGAAGAGCTATCTGTCCCTATCAAGTGCGCGCGCGTATATCGAGGTCGCGTGTATATACATGTGCGCGAATGTGTGCATCGGCGATGCGGCGCATCCACCGTGCGACATGAGAAAGCTCATTGTATGTTCCGGCATAGACGCACTCGAAAACCAGAATCCTGAACGGCCCCCTGATCGATCTCCTTCTCTACCCGCACGAACGGGCCGGCCGTCTCGTGCCGCGCTCGCGTTCATTCATATCCGACCGACGGCGACGTTCGGGAACCGAGACCTTTGGTTTCGCGATTACGTTCCTCTTGCGACGCACATCGATTTTCGCGACGCGCGAAGCGCACGTCTCTTCGCAGCGCGAAAGCGAAATCCTTTCTCGTTACTATTCATTGTGCGAAGCGACGGGCTCTCTTAAACGTGGTGCACGTGCGGTAAATTACTTCTAACAATTTCGCTGGAAATATTTCCTTAGTCGAATGTTTTCAAGTAATTTTCGTCAAAATCGCTCCGCGCTGGCATAATTTATTTTATATCGGTAATAATCTTCCTTATGGCACATATTTTTACATAATGTGATGATAAACGGCAAGCGAAAGTGCTGGTGATAAATTTTTTTATTGCAAAACGATTTTTTGTTGTTAAAAAGTGAACTCGTTAGTTTTGATAATAATTAAAATCGAACCAATGATAAATGTAATAATCGTAAAATAGATATTTAAAAGAGATCATATTCACAGAGTAGAAAATATCTGGTATTAAAAAAACTGATCCTTGTGTGTTGAGATTTTAATATTTCATATGTTCATTTAACATATTTTGATTGTGAAGCATAATGTGATACTTGGATATTTTGTGTTAAACTGATATTCAATATTTTTTAGTGTTGAAATAATATAATTTAAATCAGTAAATACATAAATAACGTAAAAATGTATTTTATAATGTAAATTCTAATATAAATATATGTTTACACATTACTAACGTTAATTTTACTAAAAAAAATTCTACAATCTGCTCACAACTATGTTTAACACATTCTATTTGTAACATAAACAAAGTTAAAATAAATTTTTCTACCTATCATAGTGCGACAAATGAAATATTACTAATGTTACTGATGCAAAATAATATTAATGTTAATTTTACTAAAAGAAATTCTACAATTTGCTCACAGCTGTGTCTAACACATTTGTAACTAGAAAGAGGAGTTA